AAACTCCTGGGCTCAAGCGATCCTTCTGCCTCAGCCTCCCGAGTAGCTGGGACTACAGACATGCGCCACCATGCCCGGCTAATTTTTTTCTATTTAGATTTTTGGTTGTCCACATAATTTCTTTCTATTTTTAGTAGAGACGGGGGTCTCGCTCTTGACCTGGTCTCGAACTCCTGACCTTGAGCGATCCACCCGCCTTGGCCTCCCAGAGTACTAGGATCACAGGTGTGAGCCACCGCGCCCGGCCAAGAAGTGAGACCTTTAAGAGGTGATTAGGTCATGATGGCTCTGCCCTCATGAATGGATTAATACTTTTTTTTAAAGGAGTGCGCTAGTTATCCCAGAAGTCAACTCCTGATAAATACAATGAATTTGGCCTGATTTCCTCTCTATCTTGTATCCTCACTTCTGTCTTCATCACTTCCATTATGGGATGACCCTTGCCAGATGCCAATGCCATGCTCTTGGACTTCCCAGTGTCCAGAACCATGAACCAAATAAACTTTTGGTTCATTGTCAATTACCCAGTCTGTGGTATTTTGTCATAGGAGCAGAAAATGGACTAAGACATTGGACTTCTGGTTTTGCTCTCAAAAATGAAAACATTTGCATTCCATCATGACAACAGTTGGCTGTTGCTGAAGACCTGCTGTTTCCTTTAGCTAGGCCATGAGTATTTATGTCAGCTACATAGCCACCAGGCCCACTTACTTGGCTGAGTCTATAAACCCCATCCTATAGGAAGGTAGGGAAATATGGGAGCTACTGTTTGCTGAGCACTATGTAGCAGGTACTTCCTAGACATACATTCAACAAATATTTATTGAGGGCCCATTATTTTCCAGGCACTGCTCTTGGAAAAAACAGAGAAGGACCCATGTGGAGCTTACATATTAGTGGTGGACACAGGATAGAATCAAATAATAAATACGATAAATAAGTAAATCACATAGTATATTAGAAGATGATAAAGTCTAAAGTCTGAAAAAAAAAGATAATAAGAAAGTAGACCAGCCTCAGCAAGAGCAACACCCCATCTCTACTAAAAATAGAAAGAAATTGGCCAAACAACTAAAAACAGAAAAAAATTAGCCAGGCATGGTGGTGCATGCCTGTAGTCCCAGCTACCTGGGAGGCTGAGGCAAGACAATTGCTTGAGCCCAGGAGTTTGAGGTTGCTGTGAATTAGGCTGACGCCACGGCACTCGTCCCAGGCAAGAGAATGAGACTCTGTCTCAAAAAAAAAAAAAAAAAAAAAAAGAAGTAGAACATGGAAGGGGAATTGCAAGGAGAAGGTAGGTTGTGATTTTACATGAGGTAGTCAAGGTAGGCCTCCCTAAGAAGACATGTGAACAGACTCAAGGGAGGGGGGAAGTGAGCCACATGGAGTTATTGGGGAAGATTGTTCCAGACAGAAAAGCTAAAGCAAAGGTCAAAGCAAGAGTGTGTCACTGGTGTTTGAGGAAGGCAAAGAAGCAAATGGGGATGGAGCAGAGTGAAAACGGGGAAGAGTGGAAGGAGTGCTCAGTTAAGGGGCTGTGTCAGAAAATGGCAGACTTTGAGGCTGTCATTAAGGACTCTGGCTTTCACTCTGAATGAAACAGGAAGCCATTGAAAGGTTTTGAACACAAGAATGATCTGATCTGATGTAGATTTTAAAATAATCACACAGCTGGTCTGCTGATACTAGACTGTAGGGGGAAGAGGGGCAATGGTGGAAGCCCGAAGACCTGTTTGGAGGCTGTCTGCAGTGATCAGGAGATGGCTTGGAGCAGGATGGTACAAGGGAGGTGCGCTAAGTGGTTAAAGTTAAGATGTGTAGGTAAAGCAAACAGAAGAATATACAGATGGATTAGATGTGAGGTGTGAAAGAAAGAAGCCAAACCAAAACCCCAAAGATTTTGGCTTGAGTAACTGACGGATGGAGTTGCTATTTGAATGAAGAAGCTGTAGGAGCAGTAGATTGAAGAGGCAAGATCAGGAATTTGGTTTTGGAAAAGTTGACCTCAAGATGTATATTGGACATCCGAAGGAAATACTGAATAAACTGTTAGGTTCGATGGACTGTTTGGCTGGCAATAAGCCTTTCCTCTTTTGATCTAGACCTATAGTTTTAAACAGCATATAATGCCAATGACTCCCATGTGTCTATGGTTACGGTGGATGTTAGGCAGACTGTGGTGCTGTAGCTGTCTCTCCAGCAAAAGGAGGGTGAGTTTCTGGTGCTCCCTCTTTATTTCTGATTAGGGAGTACTCACAGTTTTAGTTCCAGTGCTTTCATCTCCCTGGATTCAGACATTATTGCTCTGAATCTCTACCCCGGATAATGAGGGACAAAATCTTTGCCAGCTTTACTAAGTCTTATATCTGGTAAGCTGTTCAGACAAACTTGAATCAAGGTTAAACTCCATACCTGGAGCTCTTTCTTCCACGCCCTCCAGTCAGTCTTTGCCAAGGCTACCTTTCAAAGGCTCATTCTCCTTGCTTTCTCATCCCCTTTCTTGGCATTTTAATTTCTTTCTTAACTTAATTTCAGAAATTAATTTCATTTTTTCATTTTTAGTGGCAGCAATGTTAGTGCTGAAAAACTGAAATATTAGGGAACATCCTAGACTAAGAGACTTCTAGGCGCCAAATACTAGGTATATTTTGCTCTAATAAAGTAATTCTTATTTTCTTCTTCTTAGCTCAGGTTAATGTCCCCAAGGAATTCCATCAGCCACAGTCCCAAACTTTTCCCTTTCCCAATTTAGTTCACCTTATACTCTTCTCTGAACGTAGCTGAAAGTCTGAAGAACCGTGGTCTAGGGGGAGGAGAAAAGGCTTGCTCTCTCTATCTGTAACCAGGCCGGCGCCCCGGAGTAGGAGGCCTGGGAAGTTCTAGGTTGAACCCAAGGGCCACGCTTTGTCCTCGGATCCTGCACGCAGGGGTCTTCCGGCGCGGCCCCTCCCCCGGGGCGGGGCCTACCGCTGCCGTGTCCGCCTCTCCGGCTGCGTGCGGCTGCGGGCTGCGGTCACGTGAACGGCGCGGCGGGGGAGGGGTCTTGATTTCCGGGCGGCGGAAGGAAACGCGGACGCGTGAGGACGAGGCGATTTGAAAACACGCTCCGGGAGCTAGAGGCTGAGGCCGGCGGCGCACGCTGTCGCCCCGTGGGCTTCTGCTCGCTCGCTTCTCTCCTCTGCCTCCGGCCCCCGGCCCCGGCCGGACCCACAGGTGAGCAGTAGCCACGCATCCGGCCGGGGCCTCCCGGGGTGCAGCACGGCGCGTGGAGCCATCGCCCCGCGCTCGCGGCCCAGGCGGGCAGCGTCGCCGGTGGCCGGTATGCGACCCCTGGGTCCCGCCGCGGCGCTCTTTCGGCGTTGGGCCTCGGTGGGGAGCCGGGTGTTGCGGGGCGGGGCCCCCTTAGGCGTTTGCAGCGCCTCAAGTTCGCGCGGTTTCGGGTCCGAGAGTTTTAGGCCGGTGTGTGGATCGGGCCCTACTTCCCCTGACTGTGGTCCTGATCGGTGTCCACAGGAGTGGAAGGAACGATAGTTTCCTGAAACCCACGGTGTCTCACTTCTGGGATGCAGGACTGAAAACGGGGTGGTGATGCGCAGTCGTTCCCTCATCCGCCCTCTCGCCACTCAGGCGTGGAGAGTTCTGCGAGCTGAATTCGACCACCCATTTTCTGGAGTCGCTCTTGCCTGGGGCACTTGATTTTTGGGAAGTATGGTTCCTGTGATTGGCCGTTCAGTGGAGTTGGGAGGAACTCAGGAGTGTAAGGGGTTGGAGAGGAAATTATCAAAGGCCAAGTGCAGTAGGCTTGCTCTGTCTTTGATGTTTTTGGGAAAAGAAGGTGGAAATGAGGAAGGGTTAATAAGGTGGCATGCAAACTGGTTGGCATTCAGATAGATTGAAATCCTAATGCGCTAGGATAGGCTTTTTGATGAAATTAGAAAAGACTTGCATTGGGCATGTGTGAAATTAAGTTTTACGATTGTTGGGTCTTACATAACGTGAGAGGGCCAGGGATGTGAGTTCAGCCCCTGAGGCTGGAGTTCCTATGTTATATTTAAAACCGGCTGCTGTGAAGGGGGTTACATGGAACTGTTTCATTTGCTGTGCTATGAAAATCTTTAAGTAAAAAGAAATGGCTAATAGAATTTAAAGAGTTTCTAGTATAAAAATACTGTGTCCCCTTAATAATAATTTTACCCGTTTTAAAAGTCAAGAAAGGGCAATCAGCCCTCTAATTTTCTTAACGGACAGAAAACATTAGTGTGACTAATACAAAGTGATAGATAATGTGACATAAAGGTTGACAGTAGACAGTATGTTGGAGCTCCATCAGGTAGTTAATGGCTAAATAGAACCCAGAAGATTGAGGGGGAAGAAAGGGGTTAACTTTTTTGAATGTTCTGTACCATTTACTTTCATCTCTGGTACCAACTAGTAATAAAATTGTAGGAAAAGCTCACAAAGTGTGCAGCTTAATTAGTGAAAGTTAATTAATTTTTGTATTAAAAGAGGCCAAGTGAGTATTGGTGCCTTCTTTTTAGGTCTTATTTCCTTACTCTTTTTTTTTTTTTTTTAAGAGTAGGGAACTAGAGGTGTGGGTGGGCTGAAATTTGGAATTGGACAAATGAAATAAGGCAAGCCATTTTGCTATGCAGTTTTCCAATTCTCATGTTAATGCCAGTATATATAACAAAGCTGGTTTTGCAGAGCTCAGGCCTGTGAATGAATCCCTGTTCACCTTCTTAATGAAGGAGTAACTTACAAATTTTTCTGAGCCTCACTGTTAAAATGAGTTTAGTACCACCTTCTTCAAATGGCTTTTCGGAGGATTGAATGCTAAGGTATGCAATGCATCTAATACTGTGCTTGGCATATACTGCTTCTGAGACTTTAGGAACACACAAGTGTTTGTGATGATAGCTTATATGCATTTAACAGTGTACCAGGTACAGTGCTGAGTGTTTTACAGTTATGAACTGATTTACTCTTACCTCATAACAACTGTATGAGGTAGGTATTATTGTTATCCCTATTTTGTAGATAGAAACTGAGGTACTACTACACAGTGTATAGCTAGAAAGCAGAATAGTCTGCCTAAGAACCTTATCAGTCTGGTTCTAGAACTATCTCTTAACCTTTGTAACCATATCCTAGCTCAGGGGGATCTAATGTAGTAAAACCATGCAGTCAAGTGAATTTGAATGTAATGTCATAGCTGATTGGTTCTGGATCCCTTGAACTTGAGGCTGGAACTTGAGCTGCTTAGTCTTGTGCCAGCCATTTTATTAATCCTGCAATAATACAAACTGTCACTCTACTCAAATGTTTTATGCTCCCATTTGTAGCTTTTTGACTTTTTACAGTTAGGCCCAGGATAACTATGATAGACCAGGGAAAAAGTTTTATTTATTCCAGAGGTACTTAACCTACTCAAGTGGGTATAACTAGAAGGCAAAATTATTTCTGTGGCATGTGGAAAAGGCTTTAAGAAGAGTTGCGCTGGTTCCACGTAAAGGAGGCTATTTTTTAAGATAGAGTTTAGCTTGTGGGGAGATAAACCTGGAGAGGATGGGTGGGGTCACATGAAGGACCTAATATGTCATGCTAAGGAATTTCTATTGTGTGTGAGGTGTAAGAACAACTGAAAGCACCTGAGTCTTGGTCAGATTGGTGTTTAGAAAGAGCTCTCTGGTGACAGGCCAGTGGATTAGAGAGTAGACAGTGGAGACAAGGCAAGAATACCAGTGGGGAAAGTATTGAATACTAGGGTAGAAATAAAGGACTTCTTTAAAGTGGTGGCCTGGTAAGAGGCACAGATCAAAGATTTTGTGTCTAAATAGAAGGTTTGGATGTCAGTTGAATGTGGCGTAGAAGGGGAGGAGGTGCAAGATGCCATGGTTATACCAGAGTTATTTATTTACAGTAGCGGCTTAGCTGGTCTTTATTCCTTATCCCTCTGTTATATTTTACTTCCTTTTATCCTTCTTTTGGGGGTGGGAATAGTGTTTGCTGTTTATATCTAATCCGAACTTTTCCTGGTGTTCAGAAGGGTGGTATCTTCACTTTTGCCTATACCAGGCTTATCTACTCCTGATCTTTACTTGCTCTTATCTTGCTCATGAAATGCCCATTACCCTCCTTGGTGCATATCTGAATCTTACCTATTTTCAAACATTCATCTTAGGTTCATGAAACTTTTTCTGTTACAGGCTGCATTAAATAATAACATTGGTTTTCAAACTATGCTTTGTTTCACCAGAGATTCCTGAGGGGCTTCTAGGAACCAGAAACTTCCCATTAGATACAAGGTGTACCTCTCACAAGTCTGTGCTGTTCTACTCACAAAGAAAAACATTTCAAAAAGTTTCCATTTAGCACATTGCTTGACAAAAGTTGCTCAAAAAAACCTTGCAAAACCAGTGGCAAGACTGTTGGCTTATTGTTAATGACTCCATTTATAGTATTTCTAGATGGAACTGATTTTTTTGTACTTCTTAAATAGTATTATATTTTCTATTTAATATTTTGATCTTTTGGCATAATCACTGTTGGTGTTGATTCTTGATTATGTTTGAAATAAATGTTAGAGTAATATAAGTATTTTATCATTTATCCTTGTCTTTATCTGTTGTTTTTAAGTTAATTCTTTTCATTATAGTACTCAAGAATGACCAAAAAAAGAAAACGCCAAGATGATTTTCAAAAGGTAAAACTAAAAGTTGGTAAAAAGAAGCCTAAGTTAGAAAATGCTACTACTACAAACTTTAAAACGAAGACTATACATCTGCCTGAGCAACTCAAAGAGGATGGAACACTTCCAACAAACAATAGAAAACTTAACATAAAGGTAAATTATAAATCTTATTTTGATAAAATAAGATTTTCTTTGAAATCATGTAGAATGTTATGTTTTTGTGAAAGGTTGTTTTAACTCTTAGAGTAAGTAGTAAATAGTTTGCCTAGGATCATAGGGTTTATTGACATTTGGAGTTCATCGGTTACCCAAATCTGATCATGTAACTTCATCTTTCCCACTTGCTTCAGAAAGGTTTACTAAACTAAACGCACAGTAATTTCTCCCTAGTGGACTTACTTGATGATTTAGTATGTATCTATTTTCAGATATAATAATTCTTATGTTTAACTTTTTGATATGCTTGATGCTCAAGTTTTTGATGAACAATTTTCTAGCTGTTTTTATAGTTAAGATACTGTCATTCGTTTTTGAACCATATAGCACATAGCTTATTTTATATATTAGGTTCATAGTAAATGCTTGAAGTCAATCGAAGTTTGTGCAGTAGCTTTGTAGAGGTATAATTTACACATAATAAAATTCACCCATTTAAAGTATACAGTTCAGTGGGTTTTAGCACATTTAGTGTATTTGTAGTTTTGCTGCTATCACCATAATCTAATTTTATAACATTTTTATCATTCCAGAAAGAAACTCTTTACCTCTTAGAAGTCACTCCCCGTTTCTTTCTCCCTGCCCTAGGCAACCACTAATCTACCTTCTATCTCTATAGATTTACTTATTCTGAACATTTCATATAAATGAAATCATACAATATGTGGTCTTTTTGTTACCGGTCTTTCACTTAGCATAATGTTTTGGAGGTTCATCCACGTTGTAGCATGTATCAGAACAATACGTCATTTCCTTTGTATTGTAGAATGGTATTCCATTGCATTGTTGTGTCACATTTTGTTGATTACTCAGCAGTTGATGGACATTTGGTTTGTTTCCACTTTTTGGCTTTTATGAATAATGCTATTATGAACATTTGTGTACAGGTCTTCGTGAGCTTATACATTTTTCTAGTTTTGTTCTTTAAGCTCTGAAGTTTAAATAATACTAAAAAGGTATTCAAAGTTATGTTTTTTCCAAAGGTTATATAAATTATTGCACAAATAAAACTGTCAAGCAGTATACTCTAAATAAAATACTCTGAAAGACTTTAAAACAGGGAGAAAGGGCCTGTTAAATTAAGAGTATATAAATGCACCTTTCATAATGTTTGGTACATAGTAGGTGTTCAATAAATGGTGGTGATGATTGTTGTCATTTTAAATCATAGAATGTCTAAGCCTGTTTGCAGGTTAATGTAAAAAAGAGAAAGTTCTAACTGAAAATTATGTAATATTTTTATTAAGCTAAACATATTTTAAAGATAAAACTTTCTGATCTTAATAAAAGCTAAATAATATTTTAAAAATGCTTACTGAAGCAGTTTCCCCAAGGAGTGTGAGTTCATTAGTGTAGTTTTAGTTAGCATGTTTATTTGAGAATGATATAATGTATACATATGTATACATCTAAAATCTGTATTTTTATTTATAGGATTTGCTGTCACAGATGCATCACTACAATGCTGGGGTTAAACAAAGTGCTCTTCTTGGACTTAAAGACCTTTTGTCTCAATACCCATTTATAATTGATGCACACCTTTCAAACATATTAAGTGAAGTGACTGCTGTGTTTACAGATAAAGATGCTAATGTACGATTAGCAGCAGTTCAACTTCTTCAATTCCTGGCCCCCAAAATACGAGCTGAACAAATTTCTCCATTTTTTCCTTTGGTAAGTGCCCATCTCTCTAGTGCCATGACTCACATTACTGAAGGAATTCAGGAGGACTCTTTAAAAGTTTTGGACATCCTGCTGGAACAGTACCCAGCTCTAATTACTGGCCGTAGCAGTATATTGCTTAAGAATTTTGTAGAACTTATTTCTCATCAGCAGCTGTCCAAAGGACTGGTAAATAGAGACAGATCCCAGTCCTGGATACTTTCTGTAAATCCTAATCGGAGACTCACTTCTCAGCAATGGAGGCTGAAAGTCTTAGTGAGACTCAGTAAATTCCTTCAGGCCTTGGCAGATGGATCCAGTAGGTTGAGAGAAAGTGAAGGACTTCAGGAACAAAAAGAAAATCCCCATGCCACTAGCAACTCCATTTTTATCAACTGGAAGGAACATGCCAGCGACCAGCAACACATCCAGGTTTATGAAAATGGGGGTTCACAGCCAAATGTCAGTTCACAGTTCAGGCTACGGTAAGAAGGATTTCAGTTATGTCCACACTCAGTTTTCCTGTATTGAATTATAACTGCTGACCATTGATGGCTAATGGTGGGAAGACATGCAGTTGTCTTTCATAGTTTTCATATAGTCATTCATGATTTGATTTGCTTTACTGATGGGAGGAGTCATTTGATGAAAGTATATTAACTTATTAATTTCTAGTAAAGCCTAATGAGAAGTAAAACTTGATAATCTCTGTTGGCTTTGTCATCTTAGAATTTCATTTTTCTTAACTAGTCTTGATCGATGTAATTATCAGTTCATGGTGCTTCATTTTGCTGTATTTTGTATTTAAGATTTAAATTAAGCAAGATTTAAATTAAGCAAGAGATAGTAAATATTTTTTAATCATTTAATTATTTTAATCATGAAGTTTTTTTTTCATTCTTACCCTTTCTTTCTAGGTACCTGGTTGGAGGACTAAACAGTGTGGATGAAGGTCTGTCATCTACTGAAAACCTGAAAGGATTTATCGAGATAATAATTCCATTGCTGATTGAGTGCTGGATTGAAGCTGTGCCTCCGCAACTAACTGTTTCTGTCAGAAATGGTATAGAACGAGAACCTCTACAGGTTATGCAACAAGTTCTTAACATTATTTCCCTTCTCTGGAAACTCTCTAAACAACACGATGAAACCCATAAATTGGTGAGAGAACTAATGGGTTTCTTACTTTCTTAGTAATGCCTTTTATCATAAGTGGGAAGATAAGAAATCAGCTTTTTACTATGAATTGATTTTACATTTTCCAAAAAATAGCCCAGGGTTTAACTGTAAACTTGGTTTTTTTTTTTTGCAAAAAACTATAAATTAAAATAGTTTTTTTATTTTTTAAAGTGAAATGCATAACTCAATATGCTTGATTCTGTTTTTTAAAGTGAAAATACTGTTTTTTAAAGTGAAATGCATAACTCAATATGCTTGATTCTGTTTTTTAAAGTGAAAATACTGTTTTTTAAAGTGAAATGCATAACTCAATATGCTTGATTCCATTTGTTTTTATTAGGTATAATTGACAGTAGTGTTACAGTGTATTGTTTAATGACTGATTGATTATGTGGGAACATTCTAGTTTCTGAAGCTCTTTCATACGATTAAAAAAGTTGCTTATTAAGTAGTCTCTTCCAGTTTGTTCCACCTTGCCAAGTTTAGCAGAAATGAACCAAACTGAAGACCTCATAACCAGCCTTGAAGTGGTTTAAGTGTTGTGCTGTAGTGAATGTAGTATATAGTGTATGCTATGCTTTTGCTGTGCAACTAAGGAAGAACAAGCTGTGAGATTAAATTAGTGCTAAATTAGTATGGTAGCACACTTAAAAAGGGCAGCTGCAGGAGCAAGACTAAATCTCGAAGCATGTGGTTTACTAAAGAATTCCTGTGAGGAGTTTTGACTAGGCAGGTGTGAATCCTTGAAGTATAAAACCAAGAAGACAGGGTTTTTTTTGTTTTGTTTTATTCTTTTTATTTCAAACTGAAGTTTAGAATAAGTCAATATGCTGTAAAAATTAGACTAGTGGTAAATAGGGTTTGATAACCTTGAAAAGCCTTATGGCAGTAAACTAAGATGTGTATTTCTTTTAAGAGCTTGTTGTATTGCTGTTAACACATTATTCAACATCTATAAGGATGTTTTTTGAAGTGCTTTTTCAAACAGGATGGCATTTTATTGAGTACACTTTTGAGCCTTTATGTCTTATGATTGATAGTACACATTGGCAAAAAGTTAACTTATGGTTAGAGGTATAGTGTATGATTTTGAGAGAAGCTTGCTTCCCCTATGGCACTTAATTTGTGATGTAGCTAATAGTAATAATATATATAACTTCATAGAAAAGTAGATATTATCTGCAATCTTGAATGGATCTATTGTCATCTGGAAGACTAAGATAGAAGATAAAAATAATGATATTCAACATGGACTTGGAGTACTAGTCTTTCCTTCAGTTTTAGAAAGCTGAGAAATACAAATTCTAACTAAGCTGCGTTGGTGATTGGTCATATACGAGCACCAATAAACTTTTGTTATTGCTTTAATAGTAGCATTTGTATTTAGACAGAATAGTATGACTAAAATACAAAATCTGCAGATTCATTAATTGTGCTAGTTTTGGATCATCTATCATTTGAATTAACACTAACAAAGGATCTAAGTACTGCTTTAATTTTGTGACTATTTAAAATAGTATGCTTTAGAACTGTTTTGTGCTGCTGTAACATAGCTGCATTTATTCGCTGCTGGTGAACATAGAATATTACGTTTAAAAGACTCTATAGAGTGTTGAAGACCAGTATACTAAATTGAGATGCTGTATAAAACTGAAATAAACTGAAGAGGATAGTTAATTCAGATAGGAATAGTATTTAAAAGCATCCACTGGTATAATTCTCTTAATTTACCTTGGCAGATTTATGTTGAACTGTAATAACTTGATAAGAACCATTATTTTAGAAACAAAGCATAAAAATGTAAATTGTTAGCTGTACAAAGTGACATTTAAGTGTATTTTAATTAATTAATTATCTTTTTTGCCATTTCCCCTGATCTCTCCCTCACCTTCATTTGTTGACTACTAGTTGAGATATTCGGTGATCTGTTAACAGTCTAATCTTTAGGAGGAACAGAATGGCATTTGTTGGTCTTAAACTCAAATCACACACCGCAGGCTGAATTATAACTCTTTTCTTTCAGTAAATCTATAGGTTTTTCTATTGATAAATTGGCATCTGGGTTGGATACAGTCTAAGGACCACTAACTTGCTTACTTTTAAGTGTTAGTGCTACTTAATGCAATTAGTTTGCTAGTATTTGCAGCACAATTGAGAAATTTCATTTGTATTCAAGTAGTGTTTTTTTAACCTTTTTAGTAATTTGAAACTTTGATCCTTGCTTTGAAAAGAAATCTCAAGGTACATTAAATCTTACTTGCAGTGGTTGAGTACTCACATCCTTACTAGGTTGCTTATTTGTGATATACCATGTGTAGCCATAATGTATTTAAAATGAAAATACAATTTAACATTAACTTTTTAATTTACTATGATTTTAAGGTCCTCTACTAATAGTGTCAGAGTCAGTATTATACATTGTAAAAATTTTGTTGTTTGAATAGTTCTGTTCTAGGCTCTGGCGATATAGAAGTAAACATGATTGGTAAAGTGCTTGAGGGTTGATAGATAGTAAACAAATGTATGTGTGTGTGTATATATATATATATATATATATATATAATGTTGGTATGAAGAAGAAAGATTAAAGTAAAGCAGGATGTAAAGACAGCATGTGCTGGAACAGTGATGGGGAAATATATATATATATATATAATGTTGGTATGAAGAAGAAAGATTAAAGTAAAGCAGGATGTAAAGACAGCATGTGCTGGAACAGTGATGGGGAACTAATTTAGATAGGTTGTTACGAAGTGCTTGGAATGTTGCAGAGTGATGAAGGTGAAGTCTTGTGAAGTCTGTGGGAAGAACATCTAGGCATAGGGAATAGCAAATACAAAGGCCCTGAGGTAAGAACAAGCTTTGTATATTTGAGGAATGGCAGGAAGGCCTGTGCAAGTGAGGTACTAGGAGAATGGTGGAAGATGAGGGAGAAAAAGAGTGACAATGGGCAGATCATGTGGTCCTCTGGTCCCTGGTAAGGAGTGTGGATTTTAACCTGAGTGTGGCGAAAAGACATAGGAAGGTTTTGAGCAAAGGAGTGGCATGACCTGCATTATGTTTATTTAACTTTAATAGAATTTGCAAAAATAGAGCACTAATGAATTCCCATATGCTCACCATCTGGCTCTAGAAACCATCAACTCATGGATGACCAATCTTGCTCTATGTATACATAATTAGGTTATTAAGTATGAAATGTCCAATTTCCTTAAGTACTAAGTTTGACTGTTGATATCTCTGACATTTCACTTTGACACTTCTTATTTTATTTTTATGGTGAAGGTACATCCTCCAGTCTTTCAAACACATGTTTTGGCTTGTGAGATTATCTTTGAAATTTTTTTTAGGGCAATTTTTGTGAAACCAGGGATAAGTTAAAAATTTGTGTTATTTTTGAATATGAGTTCTGTCATGGAACCAGTGCAGTACAGACAGCTCCAGATATCAATGAAGTATTTGGGAAGGATATGGCTAAAGAATGCACAGTACATGGGTGGTTTGAGAAGTTCTGTTCTGGTGATTTTAATCTTGAAAATGAGCCACGTGGGCGACCTGAGACCAAGGTGGATAATGATGAGTTGAAAGCCGTAGTGGAATGGAATCCATCTCAGTCTATGCATGAGTGAGCAGCAAGGTTTGACGTTACCATTCCACCAGTATTGGATCATTTGAAACAAATGGGCAAGGTAAAGAAGCTGGATAGATGTATATACTGCATGAATTAAATGAGCATCAGAAGAGAAATTGTCTTGAAGCTTGCCTTTTTTTGCTGTCACGACATAAAGGCAAACCATTTTTACACTGTATTGTTACATATGATGAAAAATGGATTCTTTTTGACAATCGCAAGTGTTCGGCACAATGGTTGGAAAAAGATGAAGTGCCAAAATACAGTCCAAAACCGAATATTCATCCAAAAAAGCTAATTGGTGTCTGTTTGGTGGTCTAGCACTGGTATTATCCACTACAGCCTCATGAAACCTGGTCAGTTGATTGCAGTGGATGTCTCCTGCAACCGATTGGATGAAAGGATGAGGATGCTTGTGATTAAGCTGCTGAGATTGGTCAGTAGAGACAGGCCAATCCTCTTGCAAAACAATGCTAGACTGCATGTTGCACAAAGCTGCTCAAACTACAGCATCTGGACTTGGAAACTCTGTCATCCACTGTATTCACCAGACCAACTGACTGCTACTTGCAAGGAAAAATATTCAACTGTCAACAAGCTGTGGAAAACACCTTTTGCGATTTCATCGCCACTCACTCTCTAGGCTTCTTTGCTGCCGACATAAACAAACTACCGTAAAGATGGCAAAACTGTCGATAGTTTAGGTGCATACTTTGATTAGTCGTACTGCTTCCTGTTTGAGATATAATAAACTACACTTTTGATTTGAAATTGGACATTGCATATTTAATGACCTATTTTATTTATTTATACACACACACTCATTCCCTTATCCCTTCCTGTATCATTTGGAAGCATGATTTATGTTTTAAGAGATCACCCTGGCTGCTTTGTGGAGAATTGACTTGTTGGAGGTGGTGAGTAAGAGGAGGCAGGGAGATCAGTTGGGAGGCTGTTACGGTAATCTAGGTAAGAAATGATGGTGCTTAGAGTAGAATGGTAGCTAGTTATTGAAGTGATGAGAAATAGCTGGGTCCAGGTAAAGCCAGGAGTACTGCTGGTGTGCATACTGAAGGAAAGAGGAGTCAAGGACGATGTCAATGTTACAGTCCAAATGGTAAGGTGACTGCTAGTAGGGAAAGTTTAGTTTTATTTATGTTAAGTTTTAAGATGCCTGTTAGAAGTCCAACAGGAGATGTTCACGTATACATTTATATATAGAATCTGGAGCTCAGGCAGAAATGATCCAAGGACCGCTATCTGTGAACAATTAGAGGTCAGGAAGAAGAGAAGAACCCAGTAAAGGATACTATAGAAGAACAACAATTAAGCTGAAAGTTGACCAGCTGTTCTGGTACTTCAAGTCCCACATCCTAGACAACCTCTCAATCTCCTACAGAATGGAGTGGTTAGTTACCCTGGAAAGGAGGAAATAAGAATATTCTAATCTGAAATTAGGAAGACAGTGTTTCGATTAGGAGGGAATGATAAATTCACCAATAAATACTGTTAAAGTATTTTAGGGAAGTGCATTGTTGTGTGAAAGTGTTAAAAACCTTTTTATGGAAACTAATCAAATTGATGGGGAATAGAGTTATGGCATAAATAGAATACCATGGAGACAGACTTTCTTATGTGTTTTATAAACATTGCATTAGGGTCCAAATTCAAGATTTTGTTAAATCATATTTGCTCTCCTTTTTTCTGTCTTAAACAGCGAATAAAATGCAAGTAAAGTAATTATTAAGCACCAAGGATCTGTGGATGAAGATTCAGTGTTCATTCTGATTTTATAATTTATTTATATATCACTGGCAGAAGGTGTATTATAACAGGACATTATTTGACAAATTGTCAAATTTCTGCCTCAAGTTTTATTGGTTATTTTACCTAACATTTTCTTGTAGATTTTCTAATCTTTGCTTATTTTAATAGGAGTCATGGCTTCGAAAGAATTACCTTATTGATTTCAAACACCATTTTATGAGTCATTTTCCATATGCCTTAAAAGAAATAACCAAGCATAGAAGGAAAGAGACAAATAAAAGGTATTGTGATTTTTTTCCACTATATAGAGTTAAAAAAGATGTTTAACCTGAAATTATCTTAAAATAATTAGCCTTAATATAGAACTTTCTACATTGCGAGGTTTTTATAGTCTAGATTTTGTGAAACTAAAAATAGTACTATGGCTTATTTTAACAAGCTACTTTGAGCCTTGGGATTAACAGCTTTTTGATTTTTTAAGTTTGTAAAATGAATGTTTTGTGCGAGACGAATGTATCAAATTACATAAAGATGAATTTAATAAAAGTTGCCGAGGGAGGTGGTTTATTTGGTGAGGCACTATGTAATTATTGAATCTCTAAGCAAAAGAGTATCTTGAGTGTTATCTAGTTCTGTTTTCATTTATAAATGAGGAACCTGGTAATGAAACTAGTATCGGTATCCTGAAGGAAGGGGGATAATTGGAGAAGAATCAGAAAGAAAGGGTGGTAGATTAGGAGATGGAAGTTAAAAGAAAATGTAAACGTGGAAATTATTTAAAATGTCTACCTCAAGTAAGAGCAGATAAGTGTGAAAGCAAGTTATGTAATAACATTTGACAAGCAGGTACAAGCTAAAACACTAAAACTGTCATTCCCCCGATGAGCAAACACTTGCAAGGGATCCTAAAGTCTGTCAAAAGGTTCTTAAATATATCAAAGGGTAGAAACTAGCTAGGGAATCATTGAGGTTCTGTGAGCAGGGTTCAAAGGATGTGCTTGGAAGTGATATGGCTATTGCAGGCATGTGAGTTTTTTATTCATTCACTAAGTAAATACCTATTTTGGCTGCTTACTGTGAATAAAGTATTGTAATAATCTGGTATCTTAAGGTATACGCCTTGCTCTCCTAAGCGATTTCATTCTAAATCGTAAGAGAGTGTATCAGGATCCAGTCAAGAGACAGAAACCACACCAATGATTTTTAACAGAAAATTTAATACAAAGAATTGTTAAATGGGTATACAAAGGGACAGTAAGATATTATGGGAGTAGGAATTGCAGGAAGCCCCTATTATCTCTAGAACTGAGAGAAAAAAGAAAAGAAGGGAAGAAGCGTGGAGGGAGGGAGTCAGAAGTCTAAACTCTGAGAATGGGGTGCAGCTCTGCTGGTGCTAATGTCTTAAGCTCAGAGATGGGGCCCTATGGTACTGGGGGCCCAGTACTGTGCAGCGGGAACTGTGGGTGGCTGGTGTTAGTGTTCTCAGGGGCATGGCGATGCTGGTTCTGTGTCAGAAAAACTGCAAAGTGGAATCAACTGTGGCTACTAGAACGACCACTAGTGGCCTGAAGAGCTGCTGATTGACATTGGCATCAATAGGAAGCAAAAATAAACCTAGGAAGCAAACAGACAGTGTCCCATCTTCCTCCTAGAACTTTCTAGTCTTTCTACCACCCTTTTATTGTCATAGCCTAGTAAGAAGCCAGCTGCAAAGGAAAAAGTGTGACTCAGAGTCCCAGCCCCAGGATCACAAAGCAGAGTGTACAGGGTAGGTTTGAAGCTGAGAAACAGTAGCTCAGTGACTGGTAGGAGGAGAAGTGAATTTACATATGTAACACAAGGCAGTATAAGTATCATTATTAGAACTATACAATTAAGTGCCATAGGAATTCATAGCAAGAGGCAGATCACTTCTTGTTAGGATAAACAGACAAAGCTATGTTGAAGAGTGGTGTTTGAACGTGGATATGATTTCAGCAGGCAAAAATGCAAGGGATGAGAGACTATTCTAATTGGAGAGATAACATACAAGAAAGCTATAGTGTTAGATAATGGGTGGAGAACATGGTCCTGGGTCAAACCTGGTTTCTGCTCTTCACTGGCCTTGACCCTGGAAGTAATTTCTTACCTTTGGAGTTCATTTATCTTTCATCCTTGATCCTTTTGGCATTATAGACTTTTCATTGGGTCACATGTTTTTTAGAAAGATTAAGTTAGGGAGTTTCTGGAGTTGGAGGGTGCTGAGTCAAACAGAGACACTTTCTTAGCAAGATGTTAGATTTTTTTCCCCCCATGTATACTTTTCTTATTAGAGCAAAAGATTTTTTTCTGGGATTCATGGATAGGCTTCAGAAAGTCCATGAACTCTTGATACATTGATGTAGAATTGTGTGTGTACTTTTTTTTTGGTAAGGAGTCCCATATATAATTTTCATCAAAATGAGATTAAGTAATGGTTAGGGTATTTAGAATTTAGTAGACTGTTAAATGTAAATAAATTATCCAAGAGTGTATGGGTGTACCGTCATTCAGCAGATTTGTTGGACACTTAATATGTGCAAGGCGTTTACTGTACTAGCTGCTGAGCATTTGGTGGGAAAGGAAGTAGGTTGGGTACTAGTTCTCATGGAGTACAGTCTAATGAGAGAGATGTATTTATTTCTCTTGATTCTTTAATCAGTGACTGACTGAAAAAAATACAATGAAGGAAGAGTTTAGGGTCAGATAGGAGTATATGTTACAAGGAACTGGTCCTGATCTTTCATGGAAGGAGGACCGGCCTAGGGAAGGCTGCCCTGATGAAGTGACATTGTGCTGAGATATAAAAGGTTAAAAAAGGAGTTAACTTGATGAGGAGGTTGAGATGGCAAATTGTGGGATTTTTAGCGAAGATGGATTGCCAATATAACTAATTTATTCTTTGTAAGTTTCCCCTAGTGATTGATTTTTTGGGACTACAGGCTGCTCTTGTACTTCTCTGTAAGTAAGTACATTAAATACTTAGCAAATAGCTTATCGAGGGTAACATATGTCACAGAGAAGCCAACAATGGTCTAGACCAGTGTTCCTCACGCTTATTCCTATACTGCCAGTGTATTTCTAACCTGATGTCTAAATTTTTTCATCTTGGGTTGAAATAAAGTTAAAAATGATATAATTTATTTTTTAAAATTTTATTATTTTTTGAGACAGAGTCTTGCTCTGTCACCCAGGCTAGAGTGCAGTGGCGTCATCATAGCTCACTGCATCCTCAGATCCTGGGCTCAAGCAGTCCTCCTGCCTCTGCCTCCTGAGTATCTGGGAGTATAGGCGCATGCCACAATGCCTAGCTAATTTTTCTGTTTTTAGTAGAGACAGGGTGTCGCTCTCGCTCAGGCTGGTCTCAAACTCCTGAGGTCAAGCAATCTTGCCTTGGCCTTCCAGCGTGCTAGGATTATAGACGTGAGACACTGTGCCCACCCGATATAATTTATTTTTATTGGGGTAAAATATATATAACATTAACGATTTAAACCAGCGGTCCCCAACCTTTTTGGCAGCAGGGACTGGTTTCATGAAAGACAGTTTTTCCACAGATGGCAGGGTGGGTAGGGTGGGGGATGGATTCGGCATGATTCGGGTGTGTTACATTTATTGTTAAATACAGATGAAGCTTTGCTTGCTAGCCGCTGGTCACCTCCTCCTGTGCTGCCTGGTTCCTAACAGGCCACAGACTAGTCCTGGTACATGGCCTGGGGGTTGGAGACCGCAGATTTAAACCACTTTTTAAGTGTATAGTTCAGTGGCATTAAGTACTTTCACATTGTTTTGCAACCATCACTACCACCTACCTCCAGAACTTTTCTGTCATCCCAAACTGAAGCTATGTACTTAATGAACAATAACTCCCCATACGCCTTTGCCACCAGCTCCTGGTAACCACTGTTCTACTTTCTGTCTCTGAATTTGCCTATTTTAGGTACTTCATGTAAGCGGAATCATACTGTATTTGTCCTTTTGTGTCTGACATGTCTTCAAGGTTCATTCGTGTTGTATAGCATGTATTGGAATGTCATTATTTTATGTTATTTATTTTTTTAATTTTTTTTTTTTACTTTAGCATATTACGGGGGTACAAATGTTTAGGTTACGTATATTGCCTTTGCCCCACCCAAATCAGAGCTTCAAGCGTGTCCGTCCCCCAAATGGTGCACATCGCACCCATTAGGTGTGAATATACCCATCTCCTTCCCCCCCACAATCTGCCGGACACCTGATGAATTTTACTACTCTGTGTGCCCTTAAGTGTTGTCATTTTTTTAATAGACTTTGTTTTTTAGAGAAGTTTCAGGTTCACAGCAAAATGTAGCAGAAAGTACAGAGAGTTCCCATACACAGTCATGCATGGCTTAACAATGGGGATATGTTCTGAGAAATGTATCATTAGGTGATTTTGTCATGGGAATATCAGAGTGTGGTGTACTCCCTGCCTCCACACATGCATAGCCTCTCTCTCACTGTTAACATCCTGCATTTAGTAGAGACCCATCTCTAATAAAAATAGAAAAGTTAGCCAGGCATGGTGTTGTGCAGTTGTAGTCCCAGCTACTTGGGAGGCTGAGGCAGGGGGATTGCTTGAGCCCAGGAGTTTGAGGTTGCAGTGAGCTATGATGACACCACTGCACTCTACCTGGGGTGACAGAGTGAGACTCTGTCTCAAAAAAAAAAAAATTACTAATTTTACTAAGCCATGACCCTCAAGAATACATATTTTTAATATTCTGTGTGGTGAGTGGGAAGTGTACATAAAGCATTTCTGCTGCATATCAAAGAACTATGGTTGTATTAGGGAAATAGCCTTGTGTGTTTGTTCTACTTGTGAGCGTTTTCCTTGAAAGGACTCGATTTTAACATGGAAAAAAATGACTGACAAACTATGGTTATTCAGACTTACGTATTTAGCGCACATTTTCACAAAAATCAACAAAGCGAGCCTATCAATTCCAGGAAAACAACTGACATTTGTTGCCAATGATAAAATTTGAGCTTTCAAACAAAAATTGATATTTTAGAGAATTTTTATATACCACTATGAATTCTATCCTTGTATTTACTATCTTTTTGCTCTTTTTTATATATGTGTCCTTGTTGAGATCATTTAGAATTTTCTCGAGTTTTTTTTTGCATAAAGGCATTGTTTTTCCTTCACTTCTAAAGAATATTGTAGTAGAGTGTAATAATCTAGGTCTGGCAGTTATTTTCCTTGAGCACACTGAAAATAACATTTTACTGTCTCCAAGAAGTCAGCTATGACTCTTAACTCTTGATACTTTAAAAATTACCTGTTTTTCTTTTTTTTCCTAAAAGTTTTCTCCTTGTCCTTTGTTTTTTTTGCAGTTTCATGAAGATATGTCCAGGTGTGGTTTTCTTTTTTATTTATTCTCTTTGGGATATTGAATCTAAGATCTTGAATCTTGAATGAAATGCCTTTAATCAGTTTTGGAAAATTGTCGTTATCTTTTAAAAATTGCTGCAGTCCCATTTTCTCTTCTTTCCTTTCCAGACTAATGTGTGTTAGAGCTACTTACTGAATCTTCTACCATTTTTCTTGTCTTTTTTTATTACCTGTTTTCCAGTTTTTAATTCTTTAGTTATGTACAACCGTAGTCAAACAAATCCATTGAATTTTTATTTTCTATTTTTATTTTTCAGTTTTAGAATTTCTGTCCAATTGTTCCATCACTATTTGTTGAAAAGACTATCTTTTAACCATTTAATTGCCTTTGTCAAAGTTCAGATGACTATATTTTCATGGGTCTATTTTGGAACTCTTTGTTCTGTTAACTTAATGTGTGTCTTATTCTTTTACCACTACCATGGTGTCTTAATTACTGTAGCTTTATAGTAAGTCTTGAAATGAGGTAGTGTGAGTCCTCCAGCTTTATTCTGCTTCAGTCTTATGTTTGGTATTCTGGGTCTTTGGCATTTCCATGTAGACTTTAGAGTCTATTGTGACAATAACTACAAAGTATCTTGCTGGAAATTTGATTAGGATTGTGTTGAATCTATAGATCAGGTTGGGAAGAATTGTTCCTTAAACTGTTAGTATGATGCAGAACTGGGATTCAGTTTTATCTAAGAGCTATTTTTACTTCCAGTTCTCTTATCCTGGGAGAGAAACCGTCAAGGGTCCAGCTTAAAGTAGGGGTACTATGTATTTGGCGGGTCCTGGTATTTGACTTTTGCCTTCTTTTCCTTGTGGAGCTACTAAAAGCTTACCTTAGTTTTGCAGCTTTTTCTTTGCAAATGGCAGTTATCCTCAGAACTCACTCTTGAATGCTAGGATTTTGCAGTTCCTAGATTTTGGGGTCCAGTAAATGTTCATTATCTTGTTCATTATCTTGAAGGCTTTCAAGATTTAAAAAAAAAATTTCATCCAACATAGAAAGTTACTTTCAGAAAGCTTCTAATTACCTGTGCTTCCATTGCTGAAAATTAAAGTTTCACCAGAGACCTGCCTCCCTTTTAGAATTGTTCGTTGGTATATTTAGTCTTCAAAATTTTTGTATAAATTATTGGAAGAGCAGACTGAACTCTTCCAAGTTTGCAAATGTCCACTGAGAATTTCCAGATAATAGATTATGCTGCTTGAGATAAACTTAGGGGAGATCTTACAAAGTTCTACCTGTGGGGAAGAAATGTTGCAAGTTTATCAGTTTTCATTCTCTCTGTTTTTTTTAAAAATAATTTTAGAATATTACAGGAGTACAAACGTTTTGATTATATGTAGTGCTTTTGTACAGTTTGAGTCAATGTTATAAGTGTGCCCATCACCCAGATAGTGTGCATTGTACCTGTTAGGTGTGAATTTACCCACCCGCTCCTCCTCCCTCCCACCTGCTTGATTTCCATTTAGTTTTACTTCCATATGTGCATATAAGTGTTGATTGATTAGTTCCAGTTTAAGAGTGCGTACATGTGTTGTTTGTTTATCCATTCTTGTGATACATCACTTAGAATAATGGTCTCCAGTTCCATCCAGGTTGTTACAAAAGGTATTAGTTCCCAATTTTCTTAATGATAGAATTCCTAACTTTTAGCTGGACATACGGCTACACAAAATAAAAACTACATTTCCCAGCTTTCTTTGCAGCCAAGAGCGGTCATGTGGGTAATTTCTGTTGAATAGCTCAGACTTCTTCCGACATCAGACTTGTACATTGAGCTGTCTGTTGGCCATCTCTGCTGTATTTATGATACTTTAGGCTCAACATATCCAAGGTAGAATTTATTTCTGGATCTGTCTGCTCCTTTTTCTTCTATATCTCTATCAATATAGTCACCAGTGTTAGAACCCTTGACTCCTCCCATCTCTACCATCTCCAAACTCACATGTTTGTATACATGTAAGCAAATTACAAATCAATTAA